CTGAGAATTCCTTTGGATGTTAAACGCCGTTTTAGAGATGTTAAACGCCCTTCACATACACTAAAGGTGTCTGGCAGCTGCTCATGGTCTGGCTTAAAGGGTAATTTCGTTACATATCGGGTCCCGTCGTGCCCTATGTCATTTTCAAACTGACTGACCACACAGTCACTGGAGGAGCCTATAGTCTCCACGGACCAAAATTTATCTAAAACTTGTCGTAAAGCGTCTGATGTTTGTTTACATTCAACTGAGGCACGTAGAATATGGGTCTCGAAACAATGCAGGTCAGGAGGACCTGTCCCAATTTTGCCACTTACTACCCATCCCACCTTAGTTCCGCATGCTACTGGACCCGCCTTACTTCGCACAACCTTTCCTGTCATGAACGTGTGGTAATAATCTACCCCAATTAAAGTTCCTACTCGGAGGTTTGGAGAATCGCCTTCATGGTCAGCCAATTCCAAGTCCTCAAATTCTTCCAAATCATGCGTTTTTGAGATATATTGGTTAGTAAGAGGGCTGCAAATTGTGGGAACACATAAAGCCTCAACACTGGTGCACCTAGAATCAGATTTATTCTTGACTTTGACCTGAACGACATCTAGTCTCTTAACCTTGCTATCATTGTCCTGACCAAAGGTCTTAATTATGACCTTTTCTGACCTGATCGACTTTAACTGCAACCTAGCTCTAACCTTATCAGAAACGTAAGACCGCTGGCTTCCACTATCAAACAAAATCCTGGTAGCTACTTGAGTACCAATATTCTCCTCATCATAGACCTGTACTCTAGCTGTTTGTAATAATATTCCCTGCTGGTCACAGCCAGTATGACCTACAAATTCCCTACTCTCCTCATCCTCTTTGCTCCCATTCTCCTTACTTGCATTTCGTCTGCCCGACGCTGCCTCACAAATGGAAATGTGGTGTTTACCCTTGTTGCACCGCTTACAAACATAAGTTGCCGTACAATTTTTTGCTATATGTCTCGAATCTAAACAAATAAAACATCTCCCTTTTTTCCGCAATATGTCTTTCCGAGAATGGTGATTCGAGACCTTACTACACCTAGATGGAAGATGTCCCCCTCATTACAATATATACAGGGGGTTTTACTAGTTTGACTGAATAACCCACTTGCTGTATAGGGCTCCCTTTTCCTGAAATTGTCAGATCTACCATCCGATTTATTACTCAATGAGAAATTACAATCTTCTTGAGCACGAAGCTCATTGTTAAAAAATTCCATGACCTTATCTAAGTTCCATACTTTACCACAAAACTGTCTCGAAATAATCATATTAATCTCATCGGGCAAGCGGTCCTTTAAAATTGGAATGAGAAGAGAGCCATACCCACTGGTGTCAAGCTTAAGAGATTTCAAGTTCCTCATACAGTTTTCAACATGACTGTACAACATCCTTAACCCCTTAATGTTATCAACTGACTTAATTTTATTAATTTTAAGTAGAGACTCCATATGTGCAGAAATGAGCACCTGCTCATTCCCAAATCTATCCTTTAAAACCTGAACTGCCTCCTGATAATTATCTGAAGTTAAAGTCAACCCTGAAATAGCCGCAAGGGCTTCCCCTTTCACACAACCTTTTAAATAATTGAATTTATCAATATCACTTATGTTTATATTACTGTGGATCGACACTTGATACTGATCCCAGAACCCCTGCCAATCTAAGGGTTCCCCCGTAAACTCTGGTAATGCTAATTTTGGCAGCTTACAATGCGCAGGACTTCTATTTGTGCTTAAACCGGCTGCGCCTAAGGAATAACTTGCGCTATTAATATTACTTTGCCTTTGCTTAATTTCTTCAAGTTTCAAATCCGCCTTTGCCAAAACTTGGTGACAAGGTTCTAAAGCTTTCATGTGACGAATAATTTCCCGGCTCAATGTCCTTTGGATCTATCAAGGATAATATTTCATTGTGCACAGTCGCCAATTGTTCGATAATACTAGCCACATTGTTTCTCAACCCAAGGAGTTTAGATTGCTCGCAATCACCGCTTTCCGAAGAAACATACTCGTTTAATTCACTTAAAAGAGTTTTCAAATACGCGTCGAGACCAAGGTGTCTGCCTTTAGCCCTTGCTAATTTTTCCTCCATGACAAATATGAAATATGAGATACCGACTACACCATACACACTGTGGACGCGTTTTTACAATACAATGCTACGTATGACAATTAGACACAAAAAATATATAGAATTTCTAACCTTTACTATATCATAAAACCTATACACTTCAGAACAATGCACAACCCCAAAGGGATCTCTCAAAAGGAAAGAATTTACCTCTAACCACAATATCGACCAACCGACCCGCTCGCGAATGACTCACAGACTCGTGTTCACTGTAACACTGTCGTCGACTTAAACGCACAATTATTGATACCTCGTATTCCGTATGATGTTCTGCCGTGTCCCCTATCGGGCTCCATGTAAAAAGCACTCTCACACTTGCCTTTTATATAGTTATTTTAATATAAATAACGCAACATAAATTTACATGTTGTCCGTTTTATCCCAACTAATTTCCGATTGCCCTACACGTGTCTTTTTAATCGTCTCACCACGTGACAGCTCACGTGACAGCTCACGTGATTATAACAGAACCAATAATGTTATTAAAAGTAAATAAATGTATAATGTAAAACGTCATGCACTAGATTAATGTTTTCTACACTACATTTAAACCTTTTTAGAGTCTTAGAACATACAAATCTTTATTCTATATTAATGAATTACTTTTTCTACGTCGTGCAAGGCTTCGAAATACATCAATACGCATAGGAGAACAGGACTGATGTTTTCGGGCAGTTGAAAGTTTGCCCGAATTTTTATGGATTGTAAAGAAATAACCTGATTTTAACATATTTTCTCATAAATCTGCCCGAATTTTCTTGATTTTTCCTAGCGTTTGCCCGAATTTCCATGGTTTTCCAAAATTTTGGGGGCCATTCCCCCCCCCCCTGTCTCGTACGCCTATGTCAATATGGCATTTACAACATGAACATAATACGAAGCCAAAGTGAAAGTGTGAAATTGAAAGAAACTTTAAAGAAAGCGTGCTAATTCTCGTATTTTACTCGTATGTACTCGTATTTTACTCGTATGTACTCGTATGTTACGCGTATGTTACTCGTGTGTACTTGTATGTTACTCGTGTGTTACTCGTATGTACTCGTATGTTACTCGTATGTACTTGTGTGTTACTCGTATGTACTCGTGTGGTGTTTTAGTCACGATCGAAATTAACTGCACCGTTGGATTTAAAACTGCCGCTTGCTATTAAATTACATACCGCTTGCCCAACCTACACATAACTCAATTATTTGCTGGCAGATAACTGTGTTATGTGTAGGTTGCATGATTGCCATATTTAGATGTAAGCTATTAACCAATCAAAACGCATACGACGACTGTATAATAAAAAAAATTATAAACCCTCGAAAGATACACAATATACATAAATATGTCACCAATATTAACCTGGGTACTCATCACCGTTAGTGTCAACATTTCCTGTTACAGCATAGCCAAATTGTTGGAAGTTAGAGTAGAATGCCTTCACTGTGTCTGCAGTTATTTTCTACAAACACATAGAACGTCAACATTCATTAGATCACTTTAGCCTGGGAAGCAAAACATCAAAACAAACTACAAAATCAGTTTTATTACTCTTACAAAATAACAATATATGAATATAAATTATATATATAAATTATATATATAAATTATATATATATAAATTATATATATATATATATATATATATATATATATATATATATTTAAAAATCAGAGGCTATGCAACTTCGACCATCAATTTATTAAAAAAACTAAAACATACTAAAATAAAAGCTTAAAAGTTAAAAACGTTTCGGCAGTTCTGAAGTGACGTTAATCTTGAGATGATGAAATGGTGCATGATCCGCATAAGATCACTAGTGGGTTTGTGGGCGAATTATTTTGAAGATTTGCCTGAGTTTAAACGATATGAAAATGAAAACATCTTTGATAGTGGTTTCCTGAAGGACATTGAATCTGAGATTCATCGATTGGATCTTCTCGAAGATGAGAGCGACACTGTTCTCGCCCAACCGTTTACACTCTACGAGGTAAATCAAGTAATCTATGACCTACCGAACGGTATATCACCCGGCCGCTTCGATACAATTTGTTACGAACGTGTGAAATATGGTGGCCCTAATCTTCTACATCACATAGTACTTTTGCTCAATGCCATTGTCTGCGTGGAGCACATCCCACTCTCCTTTAAGTTAGCTGTAAAAGTCCCAATTCCAAAAGATATCACAGGAAAGAAGACATTTGATAATCATCGTGGAATTAGTCTAATGCCTGTGTTAGATAAAATTCTACAAAAACTGGTCTTAAACCGAATTCTAGCTGTGCCTGATTGTAAAATACACCGACTTCAGGGGGCATACCAAACGGAGCAGAGTGCATTAACAACTGCATTTATGATAGACGAATCTATCAGAGACTGCTGTGAAAATAAGGACAGGGTTTACACATGTTTTATTGATATCAGCAAAGCGTTCGATCGTATGTGGATAGACGCAATGCTTTATAAGTTATACCATCATATGGGAGTTACTGGTAAAACGTGGCGTATTATAAAAAACTGGTATACCAACATGAAAGAGGTTATTTGTGGTTTGTATTCTCGTGAATACAATATATTGTATTACAAGGTACTAGACAAGGTGGTATTATATCCCCCTGGTTATTCTTGGTCTATATTAATGATTTAATATCTGAGTTAGAAAACAGCAAGTGGGGATTTTCCTGTACAATATCTATTACGGCTCACCAACTTTTGCCGATGACATTTATTGTGCCGTCACAACGTTGTGAAAACAGCGTTAGATCATCTTTTGGACATTTTAAACACATTCAGTCGGTCCTGGAGAGTTACATTTAACATTAAGAAAACGGTTACTA